TCAAGCTGACCGCATGAAAGGAGCGGACGCAGAAGTGAACACAAGTAGAGAGAGTAAGCAGGTGCGTGTGAGAAGATGAATGCTAACGACTCAATAATCACTAGGTCTAACAGAGCCGAAAACACAATAGAAGGGTGCAGAGGCTACAGTTTGCCTATCAGGTGCGCCTCGAAGGACACCGTGCGGGCTAATGGACCATTATAGTAAATCAGGAGGCTTTGAGAAAAAGTTTTCCGAGTGTTAAACATCCTCGTTGCCATCTCCCAAGTTGAAAATAGAACCTGGAGAGATTGAGTAACAGTGGACAGCGGGCAACGTGCATGCTTAATTATAGTTAGGAAAGAGTAGAAGGTAATAATAGAAGGTGAATGAAGAGAGATGTAATAGAAGGTATCACCAGTCGAAACCGGATTATTAACTAGAATGCTGTGTGGTGTCCGTTCGTGGTGAGACGCAGAGCACGCGGCAGACCGGAGGTGAGAAAAATTAAAATAGAGGGGAGAGAGGAAGCCCGAAAGTGAGAGAGAAAGGTGACGAAATAATAGAATGTGGAAAGCGGACGATGGAAGGAAAGAGAAGGTGATGTGTATGTGTGGATGTGTGTGTGGAGTGTGTGTGTGTGATGTGTAGTGTGTGTATGTGTGTGTGTGTGGTATGTGTAGTGAATGGTGTGGGTATGGTGTGTGTGTCGTGTGTGTGTGTGTGTGTGTGTGTTGTGTGTGTGTGTGTGTTGTGTGGTGTGTGTGTGTACGTATGTGTATATGTACTGAGAGAGAGAGGAGAGCATGATGTGTGGGCGCGAGGTCGGAGATAGTGTGTAGTGTGTGTGTGTGTGGTGTGTGTTGTGGTCCGTGTGTGCGCACGCGCGGCGGTGTGGCGTGCGCGTGTGTGTGTGAATGAGAGAGAGAGAATATGTGTGGCGCATCGTGTGTGTGTGGTGTGTGTTGTGTGGTGTGTGTGTGTGTGCGCTGCGCGCTGGCGGTGTGTGTGTGTGCGTGGCATGGCATGTGTGCGTTGTAGAGGTGTGGCACGATCACGAGTGTTCTTACTACGCTCCTAAATCGCGTACTGTGTTCCAAGAGCCACAAAATCACCACACCAGTGAAAGAA